TTCTCGATGACATCACGCGCGTCGTTAAAGACAGCACGCGATGAATGGTCGGGAAGCAACTTGCAGTCTGACATGTTTCTTGTCCACGACAAGATTTTAGGAGTCAAAAGCGTGAAATCTGACACAGTGACTATCGTGACCGACAAAAATATTGTGTAGTCTGAACCCGGCATTAGTCTTCATCCGTTCTACGTCTATATTAAAGTTGGTTTCAGTGCCTGTTCTCCTGGATTTATCTGATTAAAAGACTTTTCGTTTATCTCCTTCATCCTCGTGCAGTTTGTATCACCAATGCGTGACAAGTATGTGATTAAGACAAAAAACTGTTCTATAAAAAAAAAGTTTACAATGTATACAAGTGTAAAAAAAAGTCTTTACATTGTACCCAAAACGTTTTATCATGATTTAATGATTAGAATAGGATAAGAAAATAAATGATATATCAGATAAATACAAATTATTAATTTATATTAAGTTCAAATACTTCACTGTTTTCATAAACCGTACAAATTAGTTACATTTGCATAAAAAACCCTGAAAATCCATACGAATTTCTCAAAGAAAGGTCAAGCAGCTAATTTCTTGCTGATTAACCCTAGATGTATAAATAATAAGATATATGATATTCCTGAACATACTCCCAAAAGCATCTTTAAGTGTACAGTGTAAGACACAAACAAGAATAAAATCATCAGTAATCTGCATTTACCCAATAAGCTCTTACAGCCAACAGAGTAGCATAGAGCATATTGTACTGTGATCAGAGTGTTAAAACTTCACCGCTGCAACACTCTATATTATACATATACTATATTATACATAGTATACTGTATAATACACACATACATACATATATATATATATATATATATATATATATATATATATATATATATATATATATATATATATATATATGTATATATATATATATACGTATATCATATTAATAGAAGTATTTCTTTATTTATGGTGCACTCTCTGGTGTGTAAGCAGACTTCTCTTGTCTTTGAAGGTCTTCCTACAGTCCGGGCAGGGGAATGGCCTCTCTCCTGTGTGAGTGCGCTCATGCACTCTGAGCTGTGATGTCTGTTTGAAGCCCATGCCGCAGACGGAGCAGGGATAAGGCTTTTCTCCCGTATGTACCCTCAGATGTATCCTAAGCTCTGCAGCCCTGCAGAAGCTCTTTCCACACTCAGAGCAAAGATTAGGTCGTGCTTCGCTGTGAGTGTTCACATGCATTTTCAGGTCAAATGACCGGCGGAAGCACTTTCCACAGTCAGTGCAGGAACATGGTCTCTCATCCGAGTGTGCACGCTGGTGACTCCTTAGCAAATACAAATGCGTAAAGGCCTTTCCGCACTCAGTACAGTGATGGTGCTTCTCTCCTTTGTGACACTGCTGGTGTTCTTTAAGTTGACAGAAAGCGGTGAAAGCTTCACTACAAACACCGCAGCGAAATGGTTTCTCTTCTGATTGAGGTGGCTCGTGCTCTTTTAGTCTCCTGTTGTCGGTGAACGTCTTGTTGCATACGGTGCATCGATAAGGCTTTTCTCCTGTGTGAATGCGCATGTGTGCGATCAAATTGGCATGTCCCTTGAAACGCTTCTCGCACACGGAGCACATGTAAGGCCTCTCTCCTGAATGAGCACGTCTGTGAACTTTAAGTCCGCCCAGCTGGCAAAACGTCTTCCCGCACTCTTTGCACTCGTAAGGTTTTTCACCAGTGTGGGTTCTTAGGTGAACTCGTAACGCTCCGGATGTAGTAAAGGCCTTCCAGCATTGTGAGCACATGTACGGCTTCTCTCCCGTATGAATCCTTTGATGAATTCGTAGATCTATAAGTTGCTGGAAATGCTTGTGACACTCAAGGCAGTGATGGCGTTTTTCATTTCTATGAAGTCTGCGGTGATTAGAAAAGGACCCTGACTGAGCAAAGCTCTTTCCACATTCGGAGCAGTGGTAGTGTTTTTCTCCTGAGTGAACACGCAGATGTACTTTTAGTTCAGAGGCCGTAATGAACCTCTTGCTACATTCAGGGCAAGCATGAGGCCTCTCTCCTGAATTAACTAGTTTGTCTTTTAAAGTGAACTGACGTTTTGAAGCTTTGTCCGCATTTAAAGCAATGGTGGTTTGATTTGTTAGAGCGGACTCCTGTTTTTGTGCTCTTTGTTGAGCAACTCCTTTTCCTTTTACCAGTTTCTAAAAAGAAAAAAGGATAGACAATGGACACAAAGCATGCAGTGAGTGTTACCTGAACAATGCAATATTTTACAATCGATTTTAAAATAGAATTGGACTTGACAACAAATCGCTTAAAATAAGGCATCCCACTGCATTTTAAAATACATGAGCATTAAAAAATTGGGGGTTAGTAAAATTTGTTTAAAAGAATCAAAAGAAAAGAAATTGTCACTTTTGTTCAACAAGGATGCATTAATTGCAGCTAATTCATAATTGGGTAATTACTAGTACTGAAATTGTATTTTATTTACTTATCTTTCTGGTGTTTTTAAATGTGTTTTAAGTATGTTTTCTGTATGTATATGTATAAATAAATGTGTTCATGTTTCCGTATATGTACATATGTATGGATATTGTATGTTTATGTGTGTGTATGTATGTGTGTGTATATATATATATATATATGTGTGTGTGTGTGTGGGTATTTATGTGGATATACATTTTTATTTCTCTGATTTATTTTATCTTAAATAATATATATATATATTTTTTTTTTACTTTTGTAGGGCAAATAATTTTGATTTTGGGTTGTCACTTGGAAATCTGGATCCTGAAGCAAAACCAGTTGAGAAGCACTGACTTGAGTTCATTTATTTAAATGTTTATTTATAATTATTTATTATTATTAGTGCTGTCAAATGATTAATCGCATCCAAAATAAAAGTTTCCTATGTACCAGTGTTATCTCAATGTAACTAAACGTACATTATAAAAACTGTACCAAATATTTTATCTTACAGTAATCCAGAAAAACACATCTCTTTAAACCAAAAGAGTGACCTGTACACACTTGATGTCTCTAAAACAGTTCCCATTTTGAACCTGGTGGAGGCAGTATACTTAAATAAGAAAGCGATTGCTATTGCACCAGAGAAGAAGATGCTTCTTTGAAATCCTCTGTGATTTTTACAAAACCGGAAAGGCTGCTGAAGTAATCTCTGCTGGTTTGAGAGATAACGCCTGCAGGGGGCGTGTCATGGCTCAAATACCAGTCTTTCTGGTTCCAAACTCACATTTTCCACATAAATAAACAAAAAAAGTGAAATATTTAAAAAGTAAAAACGTTTTTCAAATGTGATAAAACATTCATAAAATGTATCAAGTGTTCGTTGGTTAACGGCTGTTCTCGATCACGTGACCGGAATGGTCCAGTGGAAGGCAGGCGCGAGCCGCTCCAGGTTCCGCTGTGTCTCTGTGTTTCTGCAGAGTCCTCAATGTGGATCACTATATGGCGGTAACGCGGAACACTGCGGTAATGATCATTACCTAACACGTTTACTTCAGTATAGAAATATGTTTAACATCTCCATGCTTATAGTTAACTCTGAGTGAGTTTAGTCGAAATAAACATCTTACTGTTTCGATATATCTCAAGTCGTGCATACACGAGGCCTGCATGAAGGCTCGCTAGCTTCTGTTCATTGCTAACCAGGCTAGCATATTCCTCTCCTTTTCATTCGTGCTTTTTCTGGGGATATCTAGGATTTACCTTATATTACGGAACGGCTACAGTTTGTTTGAGACGCATATAGATAGTAAGCTCATGAATCCTGCGCCGCTAGCCTAAATCAGTGTATTTATCAGCTGTAAGTCAGCTAGCACCGCTGCTGGTGTAATGTACGTTACCAGTACAAGCGCGCCACTGTCGTGCCTTTAACCTTTCGGTGTTGATGTATAGCTATCTGCAGGTGCAAAAACCCTCAGGTCACTTTAGTGATGATTTTGTGTTTACGTTAAGCCAAGAATGGCAGAAAAGCCAAAACGCAAAAGCAGGTTCCAATGAATTGTCCAGTTGTGCAGTGTTTCTTGTAACGGTTTTTAAGTGAACACTGTTTTCAGTATGAACACTGTTTCCTTGTGAAGCAGTTTTATGTTTCATTCTGATTGGACCAGTTTGCATCTTTCAGATGAAATAATCTAGTAACGTTAGTAAGTTAGATTGAACACGAAGAGCATACAGTATTTTAGCACCATGCTACTGTCAGGACAGACAGCGTAGTGATACTGGAGATATGATAATGACTAGCAGTTGCTTGAAGGCATAGCTCCCCTAGAATTGTCACCCTAGAATTGTGTACAAATCTATGTGATTGGCTTTCTCCTGGGGAACACAAAAGGAGATGATTGGGTGAATGTAATTGGTGACTAAGGCTTTTGTGTTCTATGGAAGAAAGTCATTCAGCTATCCACAGCTTCTTCTTATATTGCACTTGGACAGTGATTTTAAATTATTATGATGTGTGCCTTTCCATGAACCACAGATCATTGTAAAATTGTGAGTGCTTTGCCAGCAAGTCTCTACGACTTCACAATCCTGGTTGGCGTAATACGGTTCGCCTCATAGGTAAGCTGCAAAATCTCTCCTTGGCATATCATTTACAATACATTTGGTTTTGATGAACATATATAGCCTAGCTTTATGTTTTTCTCCGCTCGCAGAAGTGCTGCGGGTGCATGATGTGATATGATGCCCATGTGAATCCTCATGTTCTGTTGTTTGCTGCTTTTTGTGCATGTAAAATTAGTCCCCGGGAAAGAAATGTTAGTATTTTTAACGGGTCACAGACACTTATCCTTTCTAATTTAGTTCAATTCTAATTTAAAATAATCTTGTCGGTTAACCAGCGTCGGTTAGGAAAAATAACCGAAATGAACATCCCTAATATATATTCAGTTTGTACCTATTTAGGGCATGCTATAGATTGATGAAGTCATAAATTCAAATGTGCGAATGGTTGCTGAGTAGAATATCTGGTCTGGAAATACTTGAATATGTGCTGTCTTTTTCATTCCATGTCTATGATTTCTCAGTGAGGCAAAGGTCTGATGATGGAGAATGGACAAGGCACAGGTGCAAAGCTCGTATTACCGCCTCTTACTCCAGAGCAACAGGAGGCGCTACAGAAGGTAATAAGAGATCTTTAGTGTTTTGTAGTGATGGGAAGTCCGGCTCTTTTGGCTCAGCTCCCTTAGAAGAGCTGGCTTTTACGGCTCCCAAATAGCTCTTCATTTGGTATCACTCGGATGGCTATTTTAGCCTTCTATTTTAGCCCAATTTAGCAGTCGTGAATGGTTTGTGTATTGGTAATCAATTTTCTATTCAGTGTTTTTATAATAGCCTTATTTTTATGCATTTTTTCGTTACAAAAAATGCAGTTACTATTATTTAACTTTTTAATAAAACTTTAACTGAACAATTGAACACAGAACCACAGCAAATAAATAAAGGCAAAAGTCTTAACATTAAGACAATGTAGTTGTCTTTAGTGCAGGTTGGCATTCAGAAATATCAGATGCCTCAGCTTGGATGTGCTGATGCGATTTCTCCTCTCTGTGATTATTTGTCCTGTTTTTGAGAAGACTCTCTCTGAGGGGACCGATGTTGCAACAATACAGTGTCTTCCTACCTTAATCAACGCGCTTGCGTTTAAATCCGGATCCCCCGCCTCTCTCTTTCGTTCTGTGTACCTGGCCTTTACCACTACACTCCCTATCTTCGGAGCATGTGTCCCCCTTCCTTCTTTCACATAATAGTATGATCTTAGTCTATCCTCCCATGTGAGTAGGAGTGTGTTTTTGTTTTTTTTTGTAACGAAAAAATTCATAAAAATAAGGCTTTTATGAAAACACTGAATAAAAAAAATGGCTTACCAACACAAACCATTTACAATTGCTAAATTGGCTTAAATTAGAAGACTCCGGCTGAAGATTCTGCTCTCCCCGACTGGAGTCGGCTCTTCTCGTTCGCTGCAAAGAATCGGCTCTTAAGTGGCGGTCACATTGCACTTTTCGTTCCATTGATTTGATTTCCATTGCGTAAGACCGGAAACGCAAGCTCATGCGAAAAATTTTGCATTTCGCTGCATTCCAAAGTTCAAGTTTGGTGAACTCTGACCTGCGAATTCGCATCACGTGAAGACGTGTGACCAGTAGAAGATCGATACGTCACTGCGTGTACTCTGTACAGAAATTCAAAAATGGAGGAAGCGCTAATTTTAGCCGTAGTGCAGCATCCTATTTTATATAATACATCTTTAAAAGATTATAAAAATCAAATAAAAAAAGAAGCTGTATGGTTTGCTTTGTCAATGGAAACAGGAACAGATGATATAGAGAGACAAGAGTACAATAAAATTACTATACACAAGTGTATTATTATTAAATTACTTAATGTTGTTTGTTATTTTATATTTATATTTTCAGAATCATTTTAAAATAAATTTTGCACGCCTCAAGAACTAGAACATAAAATTGCCTATTTAAAGGGAAAAACCTACAGCACTTAAAAATGTAATATATATGTACAGTCAAACCTTAATTTATTCAGACACCTTGAACATTTCATTCATTAATACAGTTTATTCACCATAGTTTAAAAAAATTGTAATAAAATATGACAGAGCCGAAAGTACTCCTTGTGGCGATCCTCATCCAGCCGAAGCTCCTGAATTAAAGAATGGAACTCACCCTGCTCAATCCAGGTCGAGTAGAATAGGGTGAACCCACAGCCTTCTCCTTTCCAGACGCTTTCGACGCCGTCGTAAAAGACACAGTACAAGCACATCGGAATCCATGTTGTGATAACTGAGGGGAAACCTTGGCGCGTGATGTCATATCCTGCTCCCGCCCATATTCGCAGCGGCGTCCGAAAACATTTTGCACGTTCAAAGTCTAGTGTGACCGCCCCTTTAGAGCTGGCTCGTTCGCGAACGACACATCACACATCATAGTGTTTTGGACTTTTATATCTTTGTTAGAGACATGAGAGGGAAAGTAGTGGGTAGTGTTGCTTTCGTCAACGAAAATTATGACTAAATATCGTCGTCAACGAACCTTTATCATGTGATGAAGACGAGACGCAACGTAAATGCTGGTCATGTGACATTGACTATAATTAAATGTATAATGCAATATTGTTGACGAATAAAAACGAGACTAAATGTGGTTTACAAAATAAAAACTATGCTAAAATGTCTCTTCATTTTCGTTGACCAAAACGAGACGAAACTAAATGTTATAACGTTATTTCGTCTCATTTAGTCGCGTTATTATTATTATTTTGCAGTATTTCTGTTTCCTGTGTCTCACTTCAGGGGCTTAATTAGAGATGCACTGAAATTCCGGCTGCCGAAAATGAGTTCAACGCTCAGGTTTCACTTTCACGTGGTGTGACGCAATGTGTATTATCCACTCAATGCGTGTGTGCGCTCCACTCAGTCGCTCACGGCCCGTGTGAGTTCTCCACTCATATACCGTTCATGCGAATCGGAACAGCAAAGTCCACTCAAAAATCAAGCGGACAGGAAACATCAATGTAGTACAGTATTGTTTCTGTCGCCCATGTTAACGGATCAGAGCGTTCACACTGCACACTATTGCGGTCCGGCAGTGCGCTCCAGGAGCGATGCGTCTGCAGCAGTTATGCTGCGATCGTTCCACACGGAGTCTATTTCTGCTGTGCTGCATACGCTGAATTAAAGTGACCTCATTATTGGCAGTAAAAATTTACATGGATTGATACGGAAATTTAGTAATTACACCATAAATGCATATAAAGTCTACTGTTTCACAGTCAACACATGGCTTTTTGGCTAGGTTTAAAACAAGGAAAAGTGCACTTTTAGATAAACAAGGCAATAATAGATGGCACTCGTGGTGGTAGTTAAACATTGACGGTATGATAACTAGGGCTGTGCGATTAATCGAAATCGTCATAAAATCGCGATTTGAGCTTGTGCGATTTCTAAATCGCTTTATAGCGCGATTTTCAGAATGCAGCGCGCCTAAATGGAGCACGAGAACCGAACAGACCAGGCGGTCATACAAACGTAACGCCAGGTTCACACACTCCGTCTGTGGTGCGTATTTTTTCCTCGCCCATGTTAACGGATCAGAGCGTTCACACTGCACACTATTGCGGTCCGGCAGTGCGCTCCAGGAGCGGTGCGTCTGCAGCAGTTATGCTGCGATCGTTCCACACGGAGTCTATTTCTGCTGTGCTGCATACGCTGAATTAAAGTGACCTCATTATTGGCAGTAAAAATTTACATGGATTGATACGGAAATTTAGTAATTACACCATAAATGCATATAAAGTCTACTGTTTCACAGTCAACACATGGCTTTTTGGCTAGGTTTAAAACAAGGAAAAGTGCACTTTTAGATAAACAAGGCAATAATAGATGGCACTCGTGGTGGTAGTTAAACAGTTATATTTATTTTATGAGTTTAAATGTGAATATGTCTATGAAAGATTGTATTACTGTACTGTGATAAGAGAATCACAATGCTGAAAAAGTATTTTCAGAAACAACGTTTGGATTTGAAATCAAAATAATGGATAAATGTTGTGTTTGTGGTAAACAGCTGCGGATCAGGAGTGGACTGCAAACGCATCCTGTGCGAAAGCAAAATGAGTCCGTGCTGCTTCTGCACCGCATACACATAGGCTGTATACGCACTGCAGACGGAGTACGTGTGAACTTGGCGCAACAAATCTAGTTTAACATCCGAGGCAATGCCACAAAGAGCTCTATGACCAATGTATGGCTAAAAAAAATCCCTGGACACAGGAATTTTTTTTTCTGCCATATGTCTATTCTAGAGACATTTTGTTACACCTTTACTTAGTGATTATTTTGCCTTATATCTGTTCTAGAGACATGTTACAGCTTTTTGATGAAGCTCTAATTGGTTTTCTTTTGGAAATATGTTTCAAATTCACACTAAATGCATTAATGACTGTAAAGCATGTCTGTGTGTCAAAATCGTGATTAAAATCAAAATCGCAAAATTAATCAAAGAAATCGTTTTTTTTTTTTCCATATCGCACAGCCCTAATTATAGCCTTAAGCAAAAATATCACGGTATTGTCATTACAGCTCGAAAATGTGTTATTTTTAAATGACTGGGTAAAAAAAAAATGTTCCCGCTGAACACAATATATTTTGTTTTTGAGCAACATACAGAATATTAGGAACAGTAGAATGTTTATTTTTTCTTTGATTTGTTTCCTAAAAAGAAGTAAAATAAAGACTGACATCTTTATTTAACCTAAATCTGTAATTACAGTTATTTAATTTTAGTTATATAATTCATATACATCATTTATATCATTTAGTTATATAATTTCATATACATGATTTGATTTAAAAACCCAGTTTGAAGCAAAAACAGAATGTTCTGTTCTGACTATCTTTGTGAAATTATACTACATGCCTGAACGAAGCAAACAGCAGGAGCTCTGAATGAGATGCAGATTCACTCTCTGACAGCGGGAGGCGCTTCTGGAACACCACAGACGGCGTTTCATTGGTTACCGCTGTAAACAAAGCAGCGCTGCACTGAAACACTGCTTTAATATGAACTATACAGAGACGAGATTAAAAGAAAATACCACGTAAACTTTTCTGAAGACGAAACCGTGAAATTTTCAAATCGCGGTATACCTTGAAACCGGTAATTGGCCCATGCCTAGTAGGCTTGTGGGTACAAATGTTTTGGTTTTTTCTAGGCTCACTTTTTAATCAAACTTGACCAGCAGCTGTCTCTGATAGACTGTTGCATTGGGGGGGGGGGGAATCCTCCAACCGGTAATCGGCCCATGCCTAGTAGGCTTGTGGGTACAAATGTTTTGTTTTTTTCTAGGCTCACTTTTTAATCAAACTTGACCAGCAGCTGTCTCTGATAGACTGTTGCATTGGGGGGGGAATCCTCCAAACAAGCATGTCCACCATTATGATGAATTGAAGCTAAAAAATGGCACTGTAATATAATAAGCACTCAGATAAGTAGCACATGAAAATTGGGTGAATAGTGCCCTTATATTGATATAAATGAAATAGCCTGTGTTAATAGCCTGTGTCTCTCTTTTTTAGGCTAAGAAGTATGCCATGGAACAGAGTATCAAGAGTGTTTTAGTGAAACAGACCATCGCCCACCAGCAACAGCAGCTCACAAACTTACAGGTGAGCTTATATTTTGATCTGATTATGCAAAATGCTTGAAATGTTACAACGTAAATGTTGTTTTCTTATGAGAGAATTGAAACATTTGATTGTCAAACCAATAGCGTAACTGAAACTACATAGCGCCACCTCCTGGTGCAGGATTTATAATGCTGAATTGACAGAAGCAAGTCTGTAAAAAAAGGAACTGATCTTTCAGACTTGCATATTATTTCTCTTAATATTGGGTGATAGTCTTTTAATTATACATTAGGGATTCATGAAAATTCAGGAAATTTTAAATGATCAGTTTAAACAATGTGATATCTGTAAGGGCAAATCCTGCGAGCCTTAAATTCCTATTGATAATGGCAAGTTTTTACACTTAGGTGGTCAGGTTGTCTGTTTTATTTCTTTCACACATCACAAGTCTTGCGAATGCTCTCTTTATTTAGTCAGATTAGACTGAAACACTCCACTGGAATAACTCCTCATGCATTTGTTTGCCCTCCCTCTCTGCCTGTTTGGTTGAGGTCTGCAGTGTGTTTCTGTTTGATCAAAATCAAACAAAATCTAGAAATTGGACACAGTATGTACTGCACTACCCAAGCAGACATCATAATGTCTGAAGAGTCAACAGCAGTTATCCAAAGGAAACATACACGCACACCCTATGCTCAGTTTATTTCTTGACTTTGTGAACAGATGGAAAATCTGAGCAGCCTACTCATCGCCTTCATTGAACGTAATGCCTATTAGTATCTCTGTTGCTTTAATTGTCAAATGTTTCAGGTCTTCAGTCAAATTAAGTGGTGTTTTAATGAGGTGGGCAGAGTTTAAAGTTGAATTCGGAGGCATTGACCAGTCAGAGAGACTGTCTGGAATACTATGTCTGTCTGCAAAGGATAAAAGAGATATCTAACCTTTTTCAGCACTTTTCCATCTTTACTGTGTTTCAGATGGCAGCAGTGACAATGGGCTTTGGAGATCCTCTCTCATCTTTACAATCGGTCAATAGATTAACTATTATTTACCTTCTGTACGCGTTAGTATGACTGTTAGCCTTCTTTAACCGGCATTGGCCTGATACACTAGACATTTGCAGCAGCATATTTAAAAAGCAGACATGGCTTTGTTGTGAATGGAATGTTTGTTTTTGGTCACCCATTTCATTAAGCAGGATGCAAGATGACACAACATGAACTACCTCCATGAACTTACTGTACTGTTTCAGTGTTAATGAATGCCATGGGAGCTGTTTTAAATCACAGGAACAGGATAGAGGACTTGTAATATGACAATTACACAGGATATTCTTCATTTACTGACAGTCCATTCCATATTTGCCATTCTGAATCACTGCATGGCCACCCGTGTGTGCGCCCTCATGTCACTTCTCATTGATCAAAGTTTACTTTTCTACCTAAAGCTCCATTTGTCTTAAGAAGTCTTGTGGGAATTGTGTGTTGTGAATGGTGTGGATGCTCCATTTCTCCTTTGTGAATATGCTGTGGCATATAAATGTCACCTTTGTCTGCTGTGAAAGAGGGCTAGCGGTCACTACGACAATCCAAATTGTATCTGCCTAAACTGTGAGCCTTGTGTGTAATCGTATACTTTCGTCATGTGGCTGACATGCAATCCAAAACTTGAATTATAAATAATGATTAAACAATGATAAATGTGTTGTTTGGTTGGACTAAAAGTGTAAAACGGATAGATTTGTGCTGATTCTCCCTCAACAGTGATCTGATATGTAAGTCCAAAAGCTCACCTCATGAAAAGAGAACTGATTTCACCTCCGCTCATTATCCAGGGTATTTAGGGGTTACTTCCACATGTTACCTGTTTAGGCTATCAGTATTCTTGGACAGAATTTAGGTCAGTTATAACTCTATATGTTTTAGTCTGCAAGCACTCACACTAATTTAGGAACGTGCAAGCAGCACTCTCGAAATGGTAAGAAGGGGCTGTGCCACATGTTCCTAATTCACGTTGCTGTGCTTGTCGTTAATGGTAAGTGAAGTAATGAGTAAGCATAGAGGACCAAATGAAGTGGGAACTAGTACTAAAACAAGCTAAAAAAAATGTTTAATCCCTTGCTATATTTTATCTCATTGTCTTTGGTGCTTAGTGTTTTCTTTCCTCTATTTTTTTATTGTTCAGTAGCTAATATTCTCTATTGTTGTCTCTTCCTTTCATGACCGCCAGGTGGCAGCACAGAGGCAGCGAGCTCTGGCCATCATGTGTCGTGTGTATGTGGGCTCCATTTATTACGAGCTGGGGGAAGATACCATCCGACAGGCCTTTGCCCCCTTTGGTCCCATTAAGAGCATTGATATGTCTTGGGACTCTGTCACCATGAAACACAAGGTATGTTATGACCCATGTCTTGAGTCATATTTTTGTCCGAAATTTGGTAAATTAATTAAAGGGTCCCTATTACACCCCTTTACAAGATGTAATATAAGTCTCAGGTGTCCCCAAAATTGTGTCTGTGAAGTTCCAGTCAAAAAAGGGTCATGAACCCCCCTGCTTCAGCACTGGTTAGTTCTCACCACAGTTTTTAAAAAAATGCTAAAATAGTGGGCATGGTGCGCTGCGAGTGGAGGGGGAAGAGGGGAGACGGACAACTTTGGTTTCAGACAGTTTCATTTCGCTCCCATTGAGTTAAAAACACAAATAAATGGACAGCCATTTGCACTCTGCATTGAAAACCTATATGAACGCGCTGTTGCACCTCTGGTAAATTTTAAGGCTTATTCTGCGGCATTTATATAAGCCTTTTGACGGGTAACGCACACGCACAAAGCTCATGTTTTTTCTATATTCCTTGGGCGGGATTTGTAATGTAAAAAGCAGAATAGGGCCCCTTTAAATAATACATTTGCAAACAGAAGGGGTTGTTTTTGTTGTACTTTTATGTTAAATAACATTTAGATTACAGTATTTCTATTTTAAAATAGTAACTTTTTTTAAAAGAAATGCCTAATATAATGCCAGTCTTCAGTGTCACATGATCCTTCATAAATGGTTCTAATATGCTGATTTGGTTCTTAAGAAACATTTCTTATTTTCAGTGTTGAATCTGACATTTGTTAGATTCACACTGCTCTTAAAGGCTGATATCTCGTAGAAAGCATGTAAACCTTGGACACATTAAAAAAATCTGTTTCAGGGCTTTGCCTTTGTGGAGTATGAGGTTCCTGAAGCAGCTCAGCTAGCCTTGGAGCAGATGAACTCCGTCATGCTGGGTGGAAGGAACATTAAGGTGGGTTCCAAACAGGACAATCAGTCTTAAACAGCTTTCTGACAGTGAGCTTTTGTGCTTTTTTTTGTTGTTGCTTTTGTGTGTGCATGACTCAGAGAAGCTATAAGCAGACTTTTTGTAGCTCTGCCAGTACCCGTGTTGTGTGTGTGTTACTTGAGTAAGTGCTCTCATTTTCATGTGCATATCTCTCCTCTAACCTGAATGTGAGTGTATGCAATGCCATGCTTCCACACTGTCATACTGTTTGTTTTCGGAGCTCCGTTTCTCTAGGAGCTGCTGAGGGAACGTTTGTTTGAGACGGGCTCTTCTCTGTCCGGGATGTGCTGATGATGGGCTGCGCCTGGCTGGTGTTTGCTTGGCCGCCCCAACTGCAGCACAGACACCACCAATCCAAAAAACTGTTTTTTAACAATCACAGACACATATTACATTCATGAATCAACTTTTTTGTCATCTAACACATCCATGCTCTCACAGTGACCATCTGTAGGCAAGAATTAGCTAATGTTAAAGTGCTGTCATCAATACAAGGTTTTTTCCTCCTGCATTTTGAATAACTTCATTTGTTAAAGGGATTAGCTGCATTATATTTTTCTTTTACTGTACTTGAGTCTCTTTTCAGACCGGTACAGGTTTTTTTCTTTCTTTTCTCAACCACTTTTGCATTTGCATTCACAAGCACACACTCAATACTTCATACACTTCCACTTAGTGGCCCCTGTGCTGGTATGTGTACTGTAGGTGGGGCGGCCAAGTAACATTGGACAGGCGCAGCCCATCATCGACCAACTGGCAGAGGAGGCACGTGCCTACAACCGAATCTATGTAGCCTGTATCCATCCTGATCTATCTGACGACGACATTAAGAGTGTCTTTGAGGCCTTCGGAAAGATAAAAAGTTGTATGCTGGCACGGGAACCCACCACGGGAAAGCACAAGGGCTTCGGATTCATTGGTGAGCTGTCTAGAAAGCACTGTAAACCCTATGTGAAGAATTGAGTCATTGCAGTAAGTTGTACTTTTGTGCAACTGACTATTCATTTCCAGTGTTCCAGCATCATATGTTTATGAGGTGTCTTTTCCAGATCCAGATATATCAAGTGAAGTTGTGCCATGCTTTATACTTATAGACATGGCCAGTTGAAATATGCAAGAATAATGCAAGAATCAAATGTGTAGACATATTTCTAAAGCTTCCAGAAATGTGAGGTATGAAAACATACCATAAGCTTAGATTGAGGAACCGCTTTCTCCATTTCACCATGGGTAGAATATGAAAAGCCTCAGTCATCGCTGGATGCCGTCTCTTCTATGAACCTGTTTGACCTTGGAGGTCAGTACCTAAGAGTGGGGAAGGCTGTTACTCCTCCCATGCCTCTGTTGACACCTACAACCCCTGGAGGTCTGCCTGCTGCTGCAGCTGTGGCGGCTGCTGCTGCGACTGCCAAGATCACTGCCCAGGTGAGAATGAACCCTTAGATCAGGCTGAACACTAGTTTACTATTATAGGAAAAATTGGTATATCTGAGATTTGGTAGATTTCAGAGAAGCTGTTGTTGATGTGCTGATGCAATTACAGCTATGTTTAGGGGTGCTCTGATCAGGATTTTTGAGGCCGATCACAGAAAGCAGTATCTGCTGATACCGATCACCGATACCGATCTTTTTAAAGATTTTTTTCATTTATAACTATTTATAGTGATACTCCAATCAGGATTTTTAGACATTTATTCAGGGCCTGAATTTCATTATTGAAAATGGGGGGAATTCCCCTCTTAGGTGTCTCTTGTGAGAGGGGAAGCAGCTTTCACACAGGAGTCCGCTACTGATCCGTGGCTGTTTACCACAAACGCAACATTTATCCATTATTTTGATTTCAAATCCAAACAATGTCACTGAAATTGCTTTTTCAGCATTGCAATTCTTTTTTTTTATACACAGTACAGTAATACAATCTTTCAAAGACATGTTTAAACAATGTTTATCTTAAAGTGCTCTTTCGCTTTAAACCTAGCCAAAAAGCCATATGTGTTGACTGAAACACAGTAGACTTTAATAATATGCATTTATGGTGTAATTACTAAATTTGTGTCAATCCATGTTCATATTTACTGCAAAAATGCACTGTTACTTTAATTCAGCGCTTGCAGTGCAGCAATAGACTCGGTGCGGAAACGATCTCTGCACTGCTGCAGACACACCGCTGCTGAAGCGCACTGCTGGACAGCAACAGTGTGCACGCTTTATTGATCTGTTAACATGAGCGCGGTAAAAATATGCACTGCAAACGGAGTAATGTGAACCTGGCATTATGTGTGTGCGCGGCGAGTGTGCATGAACGCACGGTCTCCAGGAGAGCGCGCGAGCGTTGAATGGTTAAACACTGGCAAGAATTAAAAAGTAATGCCATTTATAAACTTTAGTGACGATGTGACACTGCCTCGATTGTGCAAGTGACAATTCCTCTGTCAACTGTGCAGCTCACTTATAGACAGACGCGATGTGGTGATTTGAAGACATTTGCGTATTTTGAGAGAGCGCGTGCGCGGTCATTCACACAATGTTTTCAAATTACTTTATACGTTATCTAATGAAGAAATATGAAGGTGAGTACCTCACCGTCAGCATTATAATGATTTCACCCGCGCCGGACAGAGACTGAGGCGGTGCCGCTGCATGTCATGCCAAACCTCTCATCATCACCTATCAAACTATGAGTATGAACCTTTTGACCAAGGGTTGAAAGAAAAAGCTACGTGCTTGTCGCTAGCATGTTTCCCATCTAATGCTGATTAATATTATAAAATCTGTATGCTTTTGTGTTTAGTTGGGCTATTTCTCATTCCTGGCTGTTTTCTCCCAGTTAGTGCAAGTTTCGATCCTTAGAATTCAGAGTTCCTTTGCTCTAGTATGTTCAAAGTAGCAGGCTGCTTAGTCATAACTCATTTACATACAATTCTTTCAAAAGTGCAGTATTACATAGAGTGTGTTAGAAGTGTATTACTGGTCCAAATAGTAAGGTTTAAAGACATCTTTAAGTCGTGGCCAAATGGATAGAGAGCCAGACCTTGTAACCCGAAGGTCTCGGGTTCGAGTCTCAGGTCTGGAAGGGATTTTAGGTGGGGGAGTGAATAACCAGCGCTCTTTCCACCCTCAATACCACGGCTGAGGTGAGACCCTTGAGCAAGACACCGAACCCCCGGGTGCCGCAACATTATGGGATTACATCTCTGTCACAATTCTGCGCGCGAAAGTGAGTTCTGTGGAGAAAATGTTTGTCTCGCAAAGAAGAAAGTATGTCGGGCGCATAAAAAGCTGTTTTGCATTTAAAATAAGTTTTTGGATTTGTGCAGACCTCTTTTGCGCGTGCAATGTTTCACTAGCTTGCACACCTTGCCCTCAGTGCTCTCAAAATGTGGACGGCTCGCTTGCCTAACATAACCCAGCTTTACAATATGCCATAATTCCAGCCAATCAGAGACAAGGCTGCTAAATTCTGATTGGCTGCCTTGACAACCAATCACAACATTCATTGCATTACCTCGACAGCAGAAGAGGAAAAGTACAGTGCATGCATAATGCATAATAATAAGTTGAGAGTGACTCTTGAAGGACCAGCACCACATCCTCTTGTACCACTGTTTGAAGAATTTATCTTCCAGAATCTGGCAGTAAGTTTGGGAGTTAATTTTTAGTCCATCTTGAGATTTTATCTGTAGAAGATAACCTGCTTAATAATTATGCACACCTGAATGTAAGCCATATATAATTCCAGTATAATATAATATAATTACATAATATAATATAATTCCAATATAAGCAATATAATTCCAGCCTTCATTAACAATAATATATAGATTATAAGTGATTAAATACAAGATTAATAGTAGTTATTAAGATTGATGTCGTTTAGAATTGGTAAAATGTGCTTGGAAGAAATATAATTAGAATATCAACTTGCATAATAATTATGCATACAATGTATTTTCCCTCTTCCTCTGTAATCAGCAATGCAAGGAATGTTGTAATTGGTTGTCAAGGAAGCCAATCAGAATTTAGCAGCCTGGTCTCTGATTGGCTGGAATTATGGCATATTGTAACGTTGTGTTGAGCAAGTGAGCCATTGGCATTTAGAGAGCAAGCTAGTGAAACCTTGCACGCGCAGAAGAGAAGGTCTGCACACATCCAAAAACTTATTTTAAATACAAAATAGATTTTAGTGCGCTCAAAATACTTTTTTCTTTGCGAAACAAACATTTTCTCCACAAAACTCAGATTGCGCGCGTGCAAAATGCACTTTTGTGCGCTCAAAATATGAACTTTCATGTGCAGAATTGTGGCAGAGATCTAACTCTATACAGCATTGGCTGCCCACTGCTCCGGGTGTGTGTTCACAGTGTGTGTGTGTGTGTGTGCATGTTTGTTCACTACTCACTGCTGTGTGTGTGCACTTGGATGGGTTAAATGCAGAGCACAAATTCCAAGTATGGGACACCATACTTGGCCACACGTTATGTAATTTCCATTCCTTTTCCTTTAAGTAAGAAATTGAAGTAAAATCTATCAATCTATCTATCCTAACAAGCACATAGCAACCATCCTGAATAGCTAGTAACAATGACCTATAGACACAACTCTTGCAAAACCCTACCAACCAGAGAGACAATTATTTACCTTCACACACTGAGGTTTGTCCTTTAAAAATAAGAAAAATACCAATAATAAATGGGCTTAAATTCAACTCCTCCAGCTTTTTAATCAACACATGAGGTTGAATTGTATTAAGAGCAGAACTAATATAGATGAAAAGTAAACCAGCATAAGCTCTATGATCCTTCAAACCTTTCAAAATCAAGTGCATGATGCTGTTAACAGCATCCTCAGTTCCTCTCCCTTGTTTATAGACAAACTGTAAAGGATCTAAATTGTTAGCAACAGGAGCTTTTAACAATGAAACACTAGCAACCACAGCAATCAATTAATCCTAAAGCTTTCGACTTTGAGCTTTAGAATTAAAAAAAAAAATCTATCTATCTATATAGCTTTTAAAACTACTTCAACTTTTAACTACTTCAAAATTAAAACCCTCTGACTTAAAGCTAATAAATCTACTTCAAACTTTCTGGTCAGGCTTCTTCAAGACAACAGTTTGTTTAAATATCTGATGGTTAATTCATATATAACAATCAAGAATACCAAATCAGAATCTTGAATCTTTTGGAATCACAAAATTATTCTGGTTTAATTTTTGTCAATATATAGAGCAGTTTATGTTAAAAAGTAGCTAAAAATACTAAAGAAAATACTTAAGCCAACATGTGGGGCCTTTGAATACTGTGTTGGACAATTAGAGGGCCAAAAGTTCAAGTCAAAAGTTTGAGAACCACACACACACACACACACACACACACACACACACACACACACACACACACACACACACAGATAAAATTAGTTTTGTTGAATGTTGTCTTTTAAGGCATTTAAACATGCTTACTTTAGAACATTAAAGATAAGTGATTCAGCTGTACCCGACGGGCTACTTGTCTTTTTAGTAGATTAACGAAATATCACATGAAAAAATAATAATAAAAAGAATTGTTCCGACTGTACACGGTTCTTTCCGCAGGGCGGCGCAAGTGCACTAGCTAGACTCCAGCGCTCCTCTCCTCCTCCAGGCTCCTAGAGGTCGCCATCCGGAGGAGTGAGTTGCGTGCGAGAGGCGCTCAGACAGAGTGAACAACAGTCACAACAGTGAGGCGGAGCTGGGAATGGATCAGCTCCTGAAGCCTTAACTCAGAACCACCACACACTCGCCTACAAGAGCAGGAAATCCCGCGACAGATAAAGCCCAGGCGGAGCGTCGCGGGCGTCCTGAGGCCAACCACCTATATGAGGAGGACAGAGAGGTTTGTGACGGATCAGTCCGGACTCGATATCAGGACGGGCAGCAGAGGAGCACAAAGCCGGTGGAGTGTCTCTGGAGCGGCGGAGATCAGCCCAGCCCCCCACATACATACATATGCACACACACACACAGAACCGGCCTGCTGCTCCTAGCCTGTTGCTGCTGTGTATGGGATATCTCATATCGCAAATCCCTCGTATCTCAGCGACACACACGTCTGTAAGTAGTTCCGAGTTGTTTTGTCTTTGTTTGGAGGCTGGCTGGTGTGTTTTGTAGCGGTTGGTGCACTATAACGCTCTGCAGCTGGCTAATCAGTTAGCTGTAGCATAGCGTCGTGTGTAACGTTACAGCAGCCTCACGAGCACGATGTAGTTTGATTATTAGACCTCCTTTTATTATTACAAGACAAAACATGTTTGATAAAAGGGCGCGTGACATGAACCAACGAGTTTGGCGTATTTGAACACCTCTGTATGTTAACGCGGGGTCACTTACTCCGTGCGACATAATCTCGTTTAATTCAGCGAGGGGCTGTTTATGCTGCAAAACTGAATACAGCACATAAAATGTGTGTTTTGTTGACTTCATTCGGCTTATGTTGAACCAAACTGTGAATGTGCTGAGTAACTCGGCTTGTGTATGATCCTCTGGATGTCCTCTGCCATCACTGGAGTTAGTGGACATTTGCAGGAGAACCGTTCGCGCAGGGGCTTTTATTTGACTGGTTTTGGTGGATAAAGTCAAGGGAGTTGCGAGGCGGCAGTTCCAGTCTGGATCCCATCGTTTGGCTGCTTGAGTGAGTCCCCGATGCTGCGGGGCTGAGTGCTCCGGGACATGCTGAAGTGTATCCCGCTGTGGCGGTGTAACCGTCACGTTGAGTCCGTGGATAAGCGGCACTGCTCGCTCACTGCGGTGCCCGATGAGATCTACCGCTACAACCGCAGTCTGGAGGAGCTGCTCCTGGACGCCAACCAGCTGAGAGAGCTGTCCAAGGTAAGCCTGCCGTGTCCCATCACTTACTCTCATGCTTGCCAGCCTCAGTTGTAAATTATGCATAGACCCGTTGTGACGTTTTGACACATGAATGTGGTTAAACCGTTGCTCTTGTTTCAAAGTTTCCCACGGTCATAGAAACCTTGAAATATCAGGGACATTTAAGAAGTCACCTTAGCTTACATTTGAAACTAAACTATTTCACCATACTTCCCCTGATCATTACAATGATCACAGCGTCGCATTCCGTCTTGCGGATGGGAGCGAAGCAGTTCCGGGTGAAGATCTCGAAGACCGGAGGCGGCGTAGGGGGAGAGGTCGTCGCCCGGGGCCTGGCTCGCGTCTTTCGCTGCGGGTGCACCCAGGGTCCGTGGTGTCCCGGCGCCGGAGTGAAGGACATCTGGGAAGATCGCAGTCCGCACACTGAATTTTTTTTTCCATCAGACCAAAAAAGGTCTCTCAAAAATGTAGTTTTTATTATCCATATGCAAAAGTGACGAAAGTGCAAAATGTATTAAAAACAGACCAAAGAGCAGACGTTTCAGCCCAGTGCTTTCTTCAGACCTTTTTTGGTCTGATTGGAACAAAAAATTTCAGTGTGTGGACAAATTCAGCGACTTGTAAGAATACATTTCTGCCATTTTCTTTTATTTTCTAACCTAACAATAGAGAGAAAATATCTCTTTATTATCTTTTTTTCTTAAGATTGTTCTAAAAGGCAAAACTCCTTTAAAAAGAAATGAAGAAAATAATGGTCTTAAAAATTATTGTAAATAACCTCTTAAAATTAGGATAACCTCCAACTTGTTTCAGATCCCCAAAAATTAGATGTTTAATGAATTTGTTGCTTCAAATGTTAATCATTTCAATAACAGTAGCTACATATAATACATATTTCTGTTATTAGGGATGTGCATGAGTTCTCTGAAGTGACACCAGTAGTCGATAGTGTAAACAAAGATGGTTCTTAATTATGCATTACGTGAGTTTTTGCTGAATTCAGAAACAACTATACAAAAACAAATCAATTAGGGGCTTAATTTTTTTGTGCACTTTTTTTAAAATTACATTTTACTGGAGGAGGTGCAAAAAGACAGCCTTTGAGGTGTTGACATTTTATCCGCCATACAATCATTTAACGCTAAAGCCCGTTTCTTAAAAATAAATTCTTAAGAAAATATTTTAGAAGATCTTAAGAATTTCCAAGTATTTCACATAGGAACATTGTTACAAACTACTTCTCTTGTTTTCCTAAGATGATTTTCATGAATCCAGCCCCTGGTCACACTTTTGTCCAATTTTTGTTTTGGTGCATACTTCATTTTTATTTGCAGTTTTTGATGCCAGTAAGTTGTGAGTCTTGATACCTGGGCCGTCTAGACATTTGAACGGGTCACAGTTACTGTAAATTCAAGATGGTGCCTGCTTCACCCCCAAGCACATCCTTATGATTACTGTTTACTTGTCACAATATGAACGTTTCCATGGATCTGACCCTTCCAGCAGCTCCTCCTCTATCTGCCTCAACACCTGTCGTGTAAATCTCTCTCTGTGTGTGGAGCACATTGTCTGTGTGTGCTGTGGGACAGAGTAAACACACAGACTCCAGTACAGATGGCCCAGTCTGGCTGATCTCCTCCAGATACTGGGATAGGTGTTACTGTAGATGGCGGCACCCTGTCGTCTGAACTCTGATCTCCTGCTTTGTCTGAGAAGGTACATACCTTTTATTGCAGTAAGCTATTTATAAGGCAAGGGTTAGGCAGGTTTGTCCTATATGCCAGGGGCCTCATGTATAAAACTTTATGTAGATTTCATCCTAAATGTGTGCGTATGCACAAAAGCTAGATTTTGCATACGTACAAAAGTTTTCAGATTTATAAAGCCATGCGTACGCCAGAACCTGCGAAAAATTCCCTTTGTAATACCCAGTCATCTCCACCCCATCTCCTCCCTGAAATAGCCATGTATGGAGCTTACCACGCCTAATTTTAATATGCATAACGTCATCTGCATATAATTTCCATGCATATTTCCATCCACGTGACACCATGTTTAACGAACATTAGGGTACAATACATTAGGAAAATATGAGATACGGACAATAAATGTGTTTTAAGACATCACTATTCTAATTTATGCAATTTGCCTAAAAGGTAAACATATGTTTTAGAATGTTTATAGCCTATTTTTTGTGGAAAGAGATGGGCCTTATTTTTTTGCACTGTAAATAGCTGTCTGACTCACCGCGTCAATAAAACATTTTGAAAATAAAACGCTTATCTTACAGTTTCCTTCAAATTCTATCTTTTAAATATGGTGTTTGTCACAATATTGGGAAGAGCATGAAAGGGGTTATCATTAGGCTATTGTCTGTGCGCGACACCTGTGAACAGAGGTTCTACTGTCGTCAGACCAATGTCAGACCAATGGACTGTTTGTTCAACGAGCGCATCCTTATGTCTGTCGTTACCGTGATACCGTCTATGTTCCAAAGCCATCAAAAAAAAGTCAAGTTCACAAAATTGATCACTATTATTCGTGCAAAAGTATTTTCTCAGAACATGAGTTTTGCTATTTAGAACACAATTTAAAGCGTAATTGTCATGTGCCAAGCAATCCTCGCTGTGATTAAAACATTAAATCGCATACCATGGGAAAATTGTTCGTCAGACCAATGGACTGTTTGTTCAACGAGCGCATCCTTATGTCTGTCGTTACCGTGATACCGTCTATGTTCCAAAGCCATCAAACAAAGTCAAGTTCACAAAATTGATCACTATTATTCGTGCAAAAGTATTTTCTCAGAACATGAGTTTTGCTATTTAGAACACAATTTAAAGCGTAATTGTCATGTGCCAAGCAATCCTCGCTGTGATTAAAACATTAAATCGCATACCATGGGAAAATTGTTCGAAAGCAGCACATCCACTGCAAATATTTCTGGTTAAATTCATATAAAAATGTTGTAATTTCTGCATAATAATTTCATGAAATGTCAGTGCTTAACTTCATTATTCAGAGTGTCATATTTAATCTAAACGTGTATGTCAAATGTAAAACAGACTTTAAAATCATTCTGTTTGCTTCTTTATTTCGCTCACTCCAGTAAAAGTGTGCGTACGTATGGTTTAGTGTCCGTACGGTGCGCACACATTTAGGCCTAGTTTATTTTTTATAAATCCCGATATATGCATGGAAAATTAATACCATGATGTATAAACGTTGCGTACGCACAAAAAAGGCATGGAAATGTGCGTACGTAACGTTTATACATCAGGCCCCTGGTCTTAGTTTGTAAATGGTGTGTTTTCCCTGATAAAAGTGATAAAGCATGTTTGAGCGATTTGGATGCAGCGTGCTGATACTATGTGCTAGTGGTCTTTTCTCTCTACAGTTTGCTTGTTCTTGTTGGTGACTCATGCAACACACAGAAGCTGTATAGCAAATCCCCACGGACTCCCGTTTCCATGGCCACAGGATGCAAGGCGAGCCCACGTGGAGAGCACACTGCTGTTGCTACATGGACATGTAGCATCTCCCACTCCTACGTTTTATCTTTGTTGGAAGTTAGATGCATTCACATTTGACTGTAAATATCAATTTGGTATGAACCGCACTGACAAAGTACAGGGTGTGTGGTACCTTACTGATCTCTCACTTGATATGACAAACAGAAAACTTTGTGTAGTGACTGGCCACATTTTGTTTTTAACAACCTTTATTAAGCTTTATCTAATTTATATTTGAAAACAACTTTTTTGGTTTTTAAAATTTTTAGCATTTGTCATGTGAAAATGCTTTTATTGACTGCAGTGACAAGCAAAGTTACAAAGGTCTCTCAGTCGAGACAGGAAGGAAGTTCATCAGCTATGCACTTTCATATTTCGTTTAATCTCATTGATGGTCAAGCGCTCTGACTGATAACTTCTCTTGCGGCTTTGAAGGTTGATTGACCTGAACACTAGTCCAGCTCCAGAGAAAGAGCTTTTAAAATGGCACCTAAATAAATGATGACTGTCAGCTGGCAGTGTTGGACAACTGCTGTGATACTCATTGTGTTGAGGTCATTTCAGATGTGTCTTTTCATACATTTTGTTTGATTGAAATTAAAATGATGTGCACTACTACACATGAACAATATATCAGTGTTATACAGGTTATTTTTGCAGTTATCTATTGCTTGGATGTTATCATTAAAATCACCAATAATAATTTTATCTAGACAGAAGTGAGTGCACATAGGACCCTTCAGGAAGACCAAATGATTGATCGGCTACTGTCATTTAACAAATGGTTGTGGGAGGTACATGAATAACAAATTGTAGGGCAGGAGTGAAGGATCTCCAACTGGGACTGAACCTGCAACCTTTTGTATTATCAGCCCAGATTTCTTAACTACTTAACACTTAACTGCACTTAAATTGTGCATGTAGCTTTTGCCTGGAGATCGAGTTTAGCCTGAAATTGAGAAGTCTGTATTTAGGGCTACTTTTTGGGTCTAGCTGAGCTTTGAAAATGCATTTCTCTTATTTCTCGCCAGTTAGGAATGCCTCCAGTTTCTGCTTAGCAACTGGACGTTTTTGTAAGAATATCACTCCTCTTTTTATATCCTGCTGCTCCAAGGAACTTAATACAATCCAAGTAAAGACTGAATTCAGCACTGCCATTAATTAATTGGACATTGATGATAAATGTTTGTGTGGAGTATGTTGTTTCTTTCCATATATCCAACAGATAAACACAACAGCATGGAATTAGAAGCTGAAGTTCATATTTATCAGCATACTCTGATATTAGAATTTTCTAGATTATTTGGACTATAATGGCAACCCTCTACATTGCGAGTAAATCACTCGCATAGGCGACTAAATGATGTCTAATATTAGCCAATTGCTAATAAATTCTCAGATTTTACTCGCCAGTGTGTGAGTTGGAGGCTAAGTATAAGTTTAGCACAGATATATTTTCACTCGCCGAACACTCTCTGACTGAGCGCT